TCTGCTTGTGTCTGCCTCCCAAGAACTGGGATTAAAGGCATGCACCACCATGTTGCAGGGTATTCTCCAATTCATAAGAAATTTGCAAATTCTTCAGGGTGGCCATGTCACTCTAAGTTTTCCACTAGCAAGTATGATAGACCCAGCTTTCATAGACCCTTAGACCCTCACTAGCATGCAGTATTGCTATGGTAGGTTTTTATTTTAGCTCTTTAGATAGGTGTGTGGCAATACTTCATTGCAGTCTTAACTTGCATTTCTGTAGTAGTTAATGAGGTAAAACTTTATTTCTTGTGATTGTTTTTATCTCTGCATCCTCCTTATATAATGTCTGTTTTTATCTTTGCTCATATCTAACTGGAATGCCTAATTTTTCTGTTATTACTGAGTTTTGAGAATTTGTGTGTTCTAAATAGAAGTCATTTCCATATATGTGCTTTTTATTATTTTATAAAAGCCTGTGGTTTCTTTACACATCTTGACAGACTCTTTGTTAGAAAAAGGTTTTCTATGTTGCTGTAATCTAACTGGTGAGTTTTTTATTTTCCTAAACCATGCTTTTGGTATCTTATATATGCACTTTTTGCTTAGGCCTGTCCCAAAGATTTTTGCCTATATTTTCTAATAGGTATTCCATACTTTCATTCTCTACACTTAAGTAGATGCTCTATTTTGACTTAACTTCTCTATCCATTGCAGAGTTCAAACTGAGGCTCATTTTCTGTCCCACGTGGATACACAATTTCTCCAAAACCATTAGTTGAAAACAATTATTGCCTGTTATAGGTATATGGAAGCTATGTACAGTTCTGACTGGCCTGGAACTCACTGTGTAGGTTGTGCTGGCTTCAAGCTCAGACATCTATCTGCCTTGCTTTGCCTCCTGAGTGCTAGGATTAGAGGCTTGCACCCTTATGCCCAGCCCACCTCTTTCATTTTTTATGATAAAATAGATTCCTTTTCTGTCATTGTTTTTATTGATGAGTTCATCTTTTTAGGAACTTATCAATCCACTTCCCCTGTGACTTGTTTTCTCTCTTCAAAACCTTCTATTCTGTTAATTTTTTTCTGATGGAAGCTTATTTTCAACAATTTTATTTCTTGTCTTGATTTTAACACTTCCTTAGTCCTCCTTTTTTGAGTTTAATATGCTAATTTTTTCTGGCTTGATATGAAGACTTTCTTCTTTTCTAATAAACAAAGCTGTAACTTTCCCTTGCTTGTGTCTCCATATGCACAACAATTTTTGTATAACATCTTTTTATAATCATTTTATTTAAAATTGTTTCCTGTTTCCACTATAATTTAGCCTATGGTTAATTAGGAGTATATTGCTTAATTTCTAAATAATCAGGGCATTCCTCATTTTTATTGTCTTATTATTTGATTTCTAGCTTATTTACAATGAGATGAGAGAGAAAAGTTTTACAACTTTCATCCTCTGAAATTACTCTGCGGTCATGAACTCCTTTGATAAGTTTTCCATGGCATATGAGAAGAGCGTTATGTTCTGCTCTGTGTAAATACACTGTCTGATTCTACTAATTGAGTCAAATTTCTAATCATATTTCTCAAATCTCTACATGTCTATTGAATGTTTACTCATCATATCTTTTCTGAGAAAATTATTTAAAACCACCAGCTATGACTGGAGATTTGTCTGTTTGTATAAATGGCTGGGTTTTTTTTCAGGACATGTTAATGGTCAAATCCAAATTCATTACAATTACATCTTCTAATTGAATTTACTCTTTTGTAAAACTAGCCTTATTTATTTCTGATACTACCATCTAACAGTGTACTTCATCTGATGTTAGAAAGCTCTTTTCCTTCGGATTAGTATTTACATGGTATTTACTTTACTTTCCTAGACTTTAAATTTAACTATTTGTGTTCTATATTTAACAATTGTCTCTTTTGTTTTTTCTCAATATATGTTTTTTATTTAAATTAGAAACGTGAATGTTTCACATGTCAGTCCCAGCTCCCTCCCTCTCCTACCCCTCCTCCCTTGATCCTCCACCAGCTCCCCCAGCCCCCCTCCCAATCTCCACATCATTCCCCAGGGAGGGTGAGACCCTCCTTGGGGGGGATCTCTAAAGTCTGCCATTTCATCCTGGGCAGAACCTAGGCCCTTCCCCATGTGTCCAGGCTGAGAGAGCATCCCTCTATTTGGAATGGGCTCCCAAAGCTCATTCATTAACCATGGTGAACACTGAGCTACTACCCAAGGCCCCAGTGATTTCTGTGGCCTCTTCCCTGGCATTACATTCATGGAGTCTGGATCAGTCTCCTGTTTGTCTCTCTTTTGAACATCAGGTAATGGGGTTTAATGGTAGCTTGACAACCTTTTAGTCTGAGCTGGAGCCCATATAATGTTAATGTAAAAACTATATTAGGCTTTCTTAATTACAGTTTCTTTTTTCTTAGATTCTTAAAATTGTGTGTGTGTGTGTGTGTGTGTGGTGGTGGTGGTGGTGGTGTGTGTGTGTAGATATTTGTACATGAGTGTGGGTAATCACAGGGACCAGAAGAGAGTGTCAGAATCCCAAGGTGGTCAGCCACTATCTCTGAATAATATGCCCTTTCCAATTTCATTCTGTCTTTATAGAACTCCAATTTCATTAGAAATTTTAATTATATAATCTAAGGAATTAAATATTTCTCAAGATGTTTTCTTATCTTTTTATCATTTTCCTCTCTGAGTTTCAATTTATATAATTTCTTTTAGGTCTTCAATTTTTTATCATTAGCCTTTTACTAATTTTTTAATTTGAATTACTAGTACTACTTTTTAGTTCTAAAATTTTTACTTGATGATTTCCTATAGATCCCAGTTCTCCTAACAATTTCCCTAGTTTTTATGTATTTTTACACATTAGCCAATTATATATACTAGCCTAATGTCTAAAAGCTCTAATAGTTACATGATCTATGGGTCATATTGTCTTTTGTTGCTGAATTGGTTTTGTTTTCCATCATTTGAGTGTATTTCCTGAAAATATCAAGTGATTTTATATTGACTGCTAGATACTACACATAAAATCATGTAGGGTGATGGTATTGTCTTCCCCTAGAAGTTATCTTCCTTTGCTTGGACAATTAGTACAGAGGCAGGAGGGCTTCCTGTATACAACAACAAAGAGTGTTTCTAGTTGAATTTTAAGCCCAATGTAAACCAGATTTCCCTTCTGTGATGTAACTTTGGAAATCACTGTTCTACTTTTTAATCTCTTAGAAGTCATTTTGGAGTTGGTTTCTTCTAGGCTTTGGCTCTGAAAACACATACCTAAATAATTAGCAAATATTCTGAGAGGAAAATCATGAAGAGGACATCAGTCTCACTTCTGTGCTTCCCATTTCCCTGGGTCTGGGCCTGAACTCTGTCTCTTTGTTAATCGGAAGCAAACTCTAGGTCTGATGTCATCAAGCAGCTAATGTTCGAGCAGTTTATCTACTTTTGCATTGCTAAATGAATATTGACTGTTTTCATATCTAATAAAATTCAAATATATTCAGTAATCAACTCCATCTCAGCAACTCTTGTCAAATGGCAAAATTTATTCCCATAAAGACCAGAAGAATATCGTTTAAGGTTTCAGATTGAGAGCCAGCAGCTGCTGAGTGTACCTTGCTGCCAGAGCCCTTCACACATCCACCAAAAAGGTGATCGGTGGTACCTAGAAACTGCCTCAGTGTTTTTCATCCTTTCTGTTACTGTTTTGATAAAGCAATTAAAATCACCAAACTCACAATTGATTGGATTATTTGACTAGGACCCACTAGTACATGCACTGTCACCAGGAGGGTTACACTAATTCACACTAGCTTTCATGAAGAATACAGGGTACCTCCAGTTTTAGTCATCCTAGAAATGTGACTGAAACCTGTCTGAATTTCCTAGAGTCTCCTTGAGAGTCTGAGCTAAGCAAAAGACCTATCTGATTCCTAGTACAGACTACTAAACCAGGTTTTACAGTTTGGTCACCTTAGTGATTTTTTTCCTTTTAAGCCCTGCTAAGACTTAAAATAGACCCAGCAAAATGGACTTTACCTGAGCAATTTATTTGCATGCAGGGTTATGTGACTGTTGATTAGTTTCTGATTTTTATTTCTTTTCTGTATTTTTTCGAATAGGGATCTCACTCTGTAGCTCAAGGTAATCTTGAAATAGTGATATCTCATGTTTGTTTTCTCAACTATCCATGCCTGACATTATACTTATGAACCATGACAATGAGCACTCATATTTTTTTTATAAAGTTAGCTCTTTGGCAATTCTATACATGTGTATGCTATATTCTAGTTACTTTCTTCCCCATATTCTCTCTTAAATCCCTCAGATGCCTATTGGCCCCACTAAATACCTGTCCCTTTTCCAGATTCATGACAGTTTCATGACCCATTTATCTTAACCATGGTTACCTATGTGACCATTGGAGTGTGACTATCCACTGGAGCCTGGTTGTGTCACCAGTGAATATACAACAGAAGGCAATGACTCCCGTTTCCCTGAATCTATCTGACAGTGAGGGATAGGTCCCCTAAGTCTGTCTTCTAGACTTGTCTGACTGTTGATTAGCCCACTCTAATTCAGACCCAGTGCAGTCATCAGTAGTTATTGAAAGTTCATGAATGCAATATGATTTTTTCACTTTACTTTTTATTTGGTGATACAGTCTCAGTAAGTAGCTTTGAATTGCCTTTGAAACCTGATCACTTAGAACCAACATCCTTAGTAACTAGGCCCATACCACCAGGACTAGATTATAGAGTCAGTTTAGAGCTTTCTGGGTGTTTGATCTACTACATCTTGGTTTTTATTTTGAAACATTTTTATAGACTCACACAACTGTAATTCTAGACCTAAAGCAGTTTTCACTAACTACATATTTTCAGTAAATTCATTGACTACATATTTCTTGTGTTTCCTCTTCCCTTGCCTTACTTTCACAAACTCTTCTCATAGAGTTTAATCTATCATAGTTCATTTCACTTACCCAAGTGACTAACAGCTTCTTTTTCCCAAGGCCATGTAGCAGCACCTGCAAGGTCCTCCCCTACTGAGTTGGCAAAGTAGACATTGAGGAAATGAGTACTGTTGAGCAGCAAGGCCTCCTTTAGCTCCTTTACACTCATGTATGCTCTGGGGAGCAAGCACAAAGAGAGAATATCACACCAAAGGGCAGATAATGCCAGGGCCAGATCTGGTTATTATCATAGTATTTTCATTTGACAAAGATTTTTGGAAGGGTACAGAGGCAAGAGACATGCCTAAAATGAAGTCTAGGAAGAGATGCATTTGAAATATTTTCCCATTAAGTAAAATCCTACTGCTTTGAAAAACCACAATTTCTGCAAGAAGCCTCTAATTTGACTTTACTCTCATTTCTCCTTTTTCATAGGAATTATTTCTTCAATATAAACCCATTGATGTTGATAATTCTTTATTTTGAGAATTATGCTCTGGATGAAGAGGAAAACCTTCAACCTCTCAGCTTTTCATAAGTATCTTCATACTGCCTGGTCCTTGTGATGGCAGGAAGTTCAGTTACATATGTTTTATCATATGTCTATAGCAACCATTATTTTTTTAAAGAAATGGTGAAAAAGTGGCTAGGAAGCAAGTTGTAAGAAGTAAAAATTAGAAGAGTTTGGGAAGTAGAAGACATCATAAAGCTCCTGTAAATGATAGTGTCCATTAACTTCCTTTTTGAATCCCTTAATCCAAAGAAAACCATCCTATCTACTCCTATCTCTTTATAATAACAATGGGTTTTCTGACCAATATTCATGCTGGATAGTTTTATGTCAACCTATCAAAAGCTAGAGGAAGGAACCTCAACTGAAAAAAAAAATTGCCTCCATAAGACCCTACTGTAAGCAAGATTGCATAGCATTTTCTTAATTAGTTATTGATGGGGGAAGGCCCAGTCCATTGTGGGTGGTGCAACCTCAGGGGTCATGGTTCCAGGTTCTACAAGAACGTGGGTTGAACAAGCAATTAGGAGCAAATCAGTAAGCAGCTATACATGGTTTCTGCATCAGCTCCTGTGTCCAGGTTCCTGCATTGAGTTCCTGCCCTGACTGCCTTTGATGATGAGCTGTGATATATAAGTGTGAAAAACTAAGTCCTTTCCTCCCCAAGTTGCTTTTAGTCATGATGTTTCATCACAGCAACAGAAAGCATAATTCAGACACTGTCTTCAACCTAAACAGTTTTATATATGTACTTACACACAGAATTGAAGGTGTGTTAAAACATGACTCTTGCCAGGCGTTGGTGATCCCAGAACTCAGGAGGCAAAAGCAGGAGGATCTCTGTGAGTTTAAGATCAGCCTGATCTACCAAGAAATTTCCAGGACAGGCTCCAAAACAATACAGAGAAGCACTGTCTCGGAAAAAAAAAACAAAACAAACAAACAAACAAAAGAACAACAACATGACTTGCAAAACATCATAGATTATTGATGTAGCCCTTAGGCGCTCTCAGGGATTGAAGGTTGTTCCCTATTGCTGAAGGCACCACTCATTTAGGACACCCAACTCAGAAGATTCAAGCTGAATCTTTTCTGAAAGCCTCTTTCCTGTGGTCTAGCTTCCACAGTTCCAGAAAATACTATGCAAGTTTCAAAGGGAGTGAAGCAATTGAACTAATGATTCTCAACCTTCCTAATATTGTGATCTTTTAATACACTTCTTCATGTTGTGGTAACCCCCAAAAATGAAAGTATTTTCATTGCTACTTCATAACTGTAATTTTGTTACTGTTATGAATTATAATATAAATATCTATTTTTTTCTGATGGTCTTAGGTGATCATTATGAGAGAGTCATTCAGTCCCCAGTGTGGTTGTGACTCACAGGTTGAGAACCACTGAATTAAATAGCCCTACCAAACTGTGACAATGCAGCAATTACCAACATGGCAATATATGCATAAAGATGCAAGAAGTGTCACTTACATATCAGTGGTGATCAACAGATGTCTAGTTGAACTTAAAGGGGCAAATTATACCTTGTCCTGAAAATTTAGTCAGCTCCCTGAGGCTGTTAAGTTCATAGATCTTAGAAAAGAATCTACTACTGCCACTTTCTAGACCATCAGAATTTCTTACAGCATTCTAAATCTTATCCTTATACCCATACATAAGTAGGCTACCAACTCTGTCAAAGAAGCTCCTTTTTACAGAAAATGGAAACTATCACAAAAAAACCACAAGTGATCACAATGCAGAGATTAATGGATTGGGTGTGGCAGATCTGAGGTATGTATATACTTCACAACTTAAGCATCTATGGCTCTGGCGACATTGCAGAAGATAGGAATGGAAAGACTTCAAGGTAGAGGAAAAGGGAGTTTATTATGATAGTACATCTCCTAGAAATTTCAGAGAAACTAAACACATGAAGTCTTACCAATATTGTTGATTAAACATGAACAAGGATGACACCAACAGACATGTCAACATGGACGGGGTTCAGGGGTGAGGGGTAAAATGAGCAGAATCTCACTAGGCTTCAACCATATATAAAGAACTGCAATCAAACTTAGGATGCCTGAGAGCAAGAGAAATAGTCTTCCCCAGGGAAGAGCACACCAATCCAACACAAAATGATCAGATCTGAGAACATAATGTATTATACAGAATGAAAAGATTGTAATTATGTAATTTAAGGAGCAACTAAGCTAGAAGTCACTAGTCCTTAAATTTAAGAAGTACTTCCGACAATGGTCATGTTGTGCCATCCCCCAAAAGAGGAAAAACTAAAGGCAGCTTTTCACAGCTTAATTCAGATAGACATAGTTTTTTAATTTCTTTAGGATTACATTTCATAGCCATTATTCTAACTAGACAAGCCATAGGCATTGCAAGCTCCCAACTCACATTAGGATAACATAAGCCTTCTTCTATTGCTTGTACTGCTTCCCAGCCATGCTGCTCACACCATTTATTTAACTCATGTGTAGAATGTGCTGGCAAGGGACACCCAGGAAATGGAAATCCAAAAAGAGGTAATTTTTGTGTTTCTTGGAACAGAACTAAAACCAGGAATGAAAGCGAAGAAATAAAAAAGGTCATTCCTCTAGACCTTCAGATGCTTTGGAGAAAGGGATTTTTAAATAGTACTTTTATTCACTTGTAATATCTTGGAAAAATAGTTTAGTTTTCGGCACAAGAAATCATCCAAGCTCCATGAGGTGGTATTGGATGTGATCAGAGGGATATTCCTTTAGCTGCTTTCCTGCAAATGCAATGTTTTGGGCTCTTGCCTGGTTTTCCCTGGACTTAGTCATATTCCCTTTGTTTTTCTTGTTTATTAAAAGAATTGCATTATGTTTTACTGATGGTTGGAGTGATGATGACATCATGTAAATTTTTCATGTGGAAATGTTTCAATAAATGGGGGTGTGGAAGAGGAGAAGAAACTAGAAAAGCAGTGGGATAGGTAGGATGAAAGACAGCTTACAAGAAGAACAGGGTACCTGGGATGAAACTCTAGCTCTGACCCCTTTTGTGTTTCCAATTAAAACTGGGACATGGTACTTTTACAATTTGCTCTCTTTTTACTTATTCACTTTGCCTAAATTCTCCTGCTGCTGGCATGACTTCCTTGGGCTATCTGTGTGTTACTACTGGCTTCTCTGTCTTCCATTTGCCAGGCTTGGCCACCATCCATCTGACCTCTCTCAACCCAGCAGTTCAGTTCATTTCTCCTGAGCATCCTCCAAAAGGCCTCTTCCCCTCTAGCTGCAGCATCAGGGGCTGGTTGTGCTAATCCCCCCTTCTTCCTTGCCCAATTCTTTCCCCAGTCATAAATTACTCTTTCAGATGATGTCATGCTAGTGGCAAACAGGGTGTGGTTGCTCATCTTTCTGCACTCACAAAAATATACATAGAGCTTAGTAAGTCTAAGAGGGACTAAATTTTTAAAATCTAGAGACAGTTGGAAACAGCCCCTCATTGAATGGATAAAAGAAACATTTATTTTGCTGGAAAAGATTGTTGATCTGATCTATGTCTATACCAAAGAGGGTCAAAGTGTGGAAATTAGTGTGCCTGTTTCCTATGTATGATGGCTTGTCTTCTGTACCATGCATAGTATTTTAAAACTTACTCAAAGTTAATGAAGTAAATGTCTTAGCTTCTGGACTAACTAATGTACCCAGTACTTGACTCAGATTTAAGAATATATCACTGGATATAAGTTCATAAATTCTAAGCTGAACTTCTTCCTACAGAAAAGATTTACTAAGAAATAAATGATACTAGTGGTCAGGGTTGTTCAAGAGACTCCCACAACATTATAGACTATTTCTGTTGTCTTTGGTTACCTCCCAGAAGTTGAAGGCAAAACACCATGTGCTTCAAACACAGGATCCAGAGGAGCCATGCTGAATCTGACCTGAAAGCCTACTGCCTAAGAACTAACTTACACAGTAATAGAAGGTGCCATGCAAACCTCAAAGGCAAGAAAGAGAACCGCTGATTTTACCCAGTTATGATGAGCTACAACAATAACCAGCAAGTCACAATATCACTAAGGGTGCTATAGTGGCATGACTACCTTGGTGGTAACCAACAGCTCTCCAGTTGGACTTAAGGCTCACTCAACAAGAAGAAAATCATGTCTGGTACTAGAAACCTAGCCAAATCCCTGGGGCTAGTGGTCAGGGTTCTTGGAGAAAAACCTACAACAACCACTTTACTAAACCAGCACAATTCCTAACTACATTTTAAATATTTATTCTTACACCCACAGATAAATATAGGTTTCACCCCTCATCAAAGAATCTTCTTTTTGCAACAGATGGAAACCATTACAGAAAACCACAAACAATCAAAATCCAGAGAAAAAGTGATCATGTGGTACCCAACTTGCAACTCCTACATTTAAGGCTTGGGGATCATAACAGAAGAGGGGGCTGAAAGATTGAAAGAGGCAGGGCATCCGGGAATTTGTTATAGATTGTGTCTAGAAATGTCAAAGAAGCAACAGCCATGAAGTTACATCAACATAGATGCCTCAACAAAACCTAAATAAGGATGCCACCAGTAGACATGCTAACATGAAAGAAGGAAATCTCATGGGACCTCAAGCCTAGCAAAGAATTAGAAACAGCATAATGTTGAAAGCAGGAG